TTCCCGCAAGGTAATGCCAGGAATGAATTTCATTCCATCCAGTGAGCTGTTGTGCCAGCAAGATGCACTTGATGGGGGAACAAAAACAGAGATATCCTTAGGTAGACTTAGCAAAAGGTTTGGCACCACTGGCAGGATCTAGTCAGCTTTGTCAGATGTGCAGGAGCCCAATTTCTCCGTGACCCCAGGCAGGAAGGTCTGGAGCTCAGTATGTGGAGATCTGGAAAGGGGTTTCATTCCGAGGGGTGTTTTTCCTGATTCTGGAAAAGTCAACTTTGTGTGGGCTGGCTGGTGGCCAAGATCTATCTCCCTGATTGGATAAATATTTTGGGGATGGTATGATGGAGCAGATAAGCAAAAACTAATGCTGCCACTGAGTGTGTCACCTATCATAGCTCTCAGGGCACTTTTTTGCAGGAGGCCAGCATCCTTGGAGGCACAGAGGACAACTAGGACATAGATCCGCAGCATCACCTGGATTCTAACTGATGCAGGTGCCTTTCTAGGACAGAAAGGTGTAGAAACAGAAGGGTGTTTTGCTGCAGAGCTTGGGAAGGAGCAGGGTAAAAATGGAGTTGCCTCATTTCACCACACCTTTAAAAATAATATCATGTTTGCAACATGTTTGGTGTGACTGTAACCTTTTCTTCCGAGGCGTTTAGTGGTTGGGTGGATCTACCCCACAGCCCCGGGGAATGTGCAGCTGGGGACGTTTTCAGGGGAGTGCATTAATTACAGCGTATCACTATTTATCTCATTTACATGCATTGAAAGGAAATGGCTGCTTTTACTACAGTGCCCCATTGTGCCAGGGGCTGCAGAGATGGTCCCTATAGTCTCCAGTGACAAGTTGACTGTATGATGGTGTTTGCACGTGTGGAAGTGGATAGTTCACCTTGACAGCAGTTTCTGCCATGATGAACTACCCCAGACCCAGCTCATGAAGATTCTGTGATTCTGTGATTAGAGGAACTCAATGAGAGGAAAGATGGTAAAGTGAGATCTATGAATATAGCTTAAAAGTCAACTCTGATCTTAGTTGTGGATTCCCGCAAGGTAATGCCAGGAATGAATTTCATTCCATCCAGTGAGCTGTTGTGCCAGCAAGATGCACTTGATGGGGGAACAAAAACAGAGATATCCTTAGGTAGACTTAGCAAAAGGTTTGGCACCACTGGCAGGATCTAGTCAGCTTTGTCAGATGTGCAGGAGCCCAATTTCTCCGTGACCCCAGGCAGGAAGGTCTGGAGCTCAGTATGTGGAGATCTGGAAAGGGGTTTCATTCCGAGGGGTGTTTTTCCTGATTCTGGAAAAGTCAACTTTGTGTGGGCTGGCTGGTGGCCAAGATCTATCTCCCTGATTGGATAAATATTTTGGGGATGGTATGATGGAGCAGATAAGCAAAAACTAATGCTGCCACTGAGTGTGTCACCTATCATAGCTCTCAGGGCACTTTTTTGCAGGAGGCCAGCATCCTTGGAGGCACAGAGGACAACTAGGACATAGATCCGCAGCATCACCTGGATTCTAACTGATGCAGGTGCCTTTCTAGGACAGAAAGGTGTAGAAACAGAAGGGTGTTTTGCTGCAGAGCTTGGGAAGGAGCAGGGTAAAAATGGAGTTGCCTCATTTCACCACACCTTTAAAAATAATATCATGTTTGCAACACGTTTGGTGTGACTGTAACCTTTTCTTCCGAGGCGTTTAGTGGTTGGGTGGATCTACCCCACAGCCCCGGGGAATGTGCAGCTGGGGACGTTTTCAGGGGAGTGCATTAATTACAGCGTATCACTATTTATCTCATTTACATGCATTGAAAGGAAATGGCTGCTTTTACTACAGTGCCCCATTGTGCCAGGGGCTGCGAACACCCATCTAAAGGCAGGATCTCTGACTCCTGGAGTTTACCCTCAAATGTGAGACGAAAAGGGTGGTGGAGGGGAACAGAACCATAGTACACACGGAATGACAGTCTGTACTTATATATCTGCAGTTGGCTTGGCACAGGCAATTTTTCAGGTCAGAAAGACTGAACCCTGTGAGATTAAAACATTAGGTATTACGGTGCAGAGCTCTCTCTCTCTTTCTCCAGAGGCAGTTAGATTAGCATTTTTTCACTAAAAGCAGGACACACGTTGAGCCTGTGTGCTGTGAGATAAGCTAGTTTTATGCTGCAGCATATATCTGGGCATTTAAAACACCTCAGGCAGGCAGTGATGGGCATAACTTTAAGCAGTTTCACCTTCTTTAAGACATGTGAAGTTTCAACGTTGGTTTTGAAGACAACCTGAAGAATAATCCTTAAATATGAAGTATCTTATTATGTTTAAATATGCTTTTTCCTCCCCATTGTTAATGAAAAGTTATTCTGACAACTAACAAATCCACACCAAAAAAAATGTGTAAGTGAAGAGCTGGAAGTGGTTTTAAAATAATTGAAAACTCAAATTCAAACAACCATGCTGTGCAAGGATGGGGTGGGGAAGAAAATATCTTTGTCTTGGAAAAAGAGCTGGTTTGCATGCTTTGTCTAGTTATTATATATTATTGTGTTTTTGCATCTGTTTAAAATGGAGCTTAATAACTGATATATCAGCTTAAAAATGCAGTCACCTTCCTCATTCCTCATTGGGACCCCTGGAGTTGGTGTGAGAGGGAGGGAGCATCATGAGGATGCCAGGAGGACCTTGTGTGATGATAACTGGCAGGATGGAGAGTCGTGGTTCAAGCTTCTGGTGGCATCCAACCATGCCTGGGGCACCACCAGCCTTCCCACGTCTAGAAGAAGCACCGGGATGAGCCCGTTTAGGGTGGGGGTGAAGTGGAGGCTGCTGTTTCCCAAAAATCTAAAGCTGGGAAGGCTGCTGAGCATGAGGGTGACTCCCGAGGGTGGGGAGGGAGATGCTGGTCCCGCGCCGAGGAGCGGGGAGGGCATGTGGTGGATTGAGGGCCTGACAGGAGGCGTGTGCGGTGGGGGCTGACCCTCGCCGCCCATCTGACCCCCTTGTTTGTTGAAGGAGCTGACTTGTCTGGGAGGACTGGCAGGGCCCGGGGGTGCCAGATGGCATGTGGATGCGTGTTGTGTGTCGCCTGTCATTCAGCCAGATTAATGTGAACTTTGTAAAAAGGGAGGGTGGAGGAGGGGGGGGGAAGGAAAAAAACAATTAAGCAAGAATCCCAAAAAACAATCGAGGCCACGTGCCACCGGGCAGCAGTCGTTGGCCAAACAATGGGTTATCGGCTTCCCGTGAAAGGGCCCAACTGTTGCAAACTGACATGAGCCTGCCCAGTTTTCAAATCATTTAATGCTCCTGTTTACTTCCAACCCAGCCAATCTCCAGGCCGGGAGAGCAGTCACCTGATAAGTCTTTTTATGTATTTAAGTCCCAGGCCTCACAAAATAACTGAACAGCGGTAACCATGGCAATGCTAATTATTGCACTATAACTACAGTAGGAGAAAGAAAACAGGGTAGGCTGGGAGAGAGGTTTGAAGATGTTTTTTGGCTGGGATTGGAGCTTTTGGCTCCCGGTCATGTGTTGGATTTCTTTTTTTTTTTTCTTTCCGAATCTTTTTACGAACAAATAAATTGCATTCTGCTTTAAAGATCTTCCAGATAATAGTTTAGGGAACTTTGATACGTGTTTCTGGGAATCATGAATAGAGGAGCTGAAAGCTCCTGGGCAGCCGGGCACTAGAGTTCTGGCTTGTTCTTTTAAGCTGCTTTAGAATGGTGTAAAACATAAAAGATGCTTCAGCAAGAGACCAGATTTATTTAAAGCTTCTGCATCGTCATTTGGCAACGAACTCGCATTAGTACCACGCAGCTGGCTTCAACAGATCTGTGAGAGAGCTCTTTAAAGCCCTTGTTTTGAAAGCAAAATCAACTACATCCAACTAAACCATGTCCTTCTGAAAGAGAAAGATGTTTTCCTGGACTTGAATCCCTTTGGATTTACCCTGGGTATCTAATGATACCTTCCTGACATGTTCTAATTGCTGCTTTACTCCTCGAGATACCCATGACTTCTGTAATACTGTTTAAAATAAGCCAAGGCAGTTTAGCCTTTCATTTGTGATAGTTCTTCTATTGACTTTAATGGGAGTTTTGGCCACACAGGAATTTTTGAGCACTGTACAATATTCCAATATTTCAGTTTTGTACCAGGCACTCTATCAGAAGCAAAACAAACCAGGTGGGACAGAGCAGGCAGAACGTATCAAAACCAGAGCTTTAAACCAAAAGCAGCCTGTGATGGTTATGCCTCGCTTTAGTTGCTAAAGGCTGGCTGGGTGTTACTGTGTGTTCAGTCACCAGCTTTTTGTTCTGATCCTTTAGTATGTCAAAAACCACCTAAAAAATTGTTTCATGTGCTTCGTGGTTCCTTGTCAAGTATCAATAACTTCGTGTATCTGAATGGAAGAGATCAGTGGTTCATTCTGTAAAGTCCTTTTTATGCAGCAGCTCTCTGCTGCTCCGTCCCCACCGAGGGGACGTGGTGGCTGGGAAAAGCCCTCTCCTGGTGCCCAGGCCAGCAGCAAACACAGGTCCCTGAGGAGCCGGGCACAGAAACTGCTTCCAAGGCTGGCTGGTCACTGGATTTCAAGATTAATTCAATATTGTCAGGTTAAAATTCCTGACAGGTTTCTTCTACATCAAGGCCAAACAAATGCCAGTTTCTGACAAATGTGGAAATTATGAACTAGCTTTGGTTTTGTTTCTGGGCAGCGTCTCTTCTTATGGGTTCTTATGCCTTATTCCCCTGCAAATACCACATAAGTTTTCTTTACCAAAATGTTTCCTAAGTGTGAAGGAACACGTGATTCGGCAAAGGGAAGCAGCGACCAGCCAGTGGTGAAGCCAAAGGTCGCATGAGAATTCCACAAACAGAATTCCAGCCTGACACCATGTGAGCTTTGGCATCCCAGTCATCCCAGTCTCACCAGAGCTGGTGAGGCAGCATTTCTGCTCCCTGCTAACCTTTCCTGCTCTTTTGCAGACTCTTGGCATCTGACCCCTCCCAGCTGAGTGAAGATGACCTCCCTGGTGACTTGCAGTCCTTGTCGTGGCTGACGTCTGTAGATGTTCCTCGGTTACAGCAGATGGCCAGTGGGAGGATGGATTTTAGCCTTGGTGCCCAGAACACGATGCTGCCACAGACAGGTAGACCATGAGGATGGTGAATAACTGCTCTTCAAAGGACACGGCCTCCTGCCCCCTTTCTTCCCCCCACCCCCAGGCTGGCTTCCCTATTAGTACATTCCTTTTAAGTATGTTACATTTCATAGAATCATAGAATCATCTAGGTTGGAAGGGACCTTTAAGATCTTCTAGTCCAACCATCAACCTAACTCTGATTAAAAAAAAAAGACAACAACAAAAACCACAAAAAAAAACCAACACAAAAGAAAACCGTACAAAAGAACCCCCCACATCACTAAACGACAAAAACCACAAAAAAAAAACCAACACAAAAGAAAACCATACAAAAGAAGCCCCCACATCACTAAACTATGTCTCTAAGCTCTATGTCAACTTGTCTTTGGAAAACCTCCAGGGGTGGTGCCTCAACCTCTTCCCTGGGCAGCCCATTCCAAGGCTTAATAACCCTTTCAGTGTAAAAATTTGTCCTAATCTCCAATCTGAACCTTCCCTGGTGCAATTTGAGGCCATTTCCTCTTGTCCCATCGCCTGGGACTTGGGAGAAGAGACCAACCCCTGCCTCTACAACCTCCTTTTGGGTAGTTGTAGAGAGTGAGAAGGTCTCCCCAGAGCAAGAAGGTCTCCCCACTTTCACTTACTGTCAGAGAACCTGGATCCTGTTGTCTTCTGATAAGGTCTTCTGTTGCTGATACGTTTCCTTCATTTCAAGAGGCTCAGAGCCCTGTCAGCCTCCACAGAGATCTTAGGAACCGATTGCCTTCTCTGCTCGGGGTAGCTGCTGGTGCCCTGTTGTGTGAACTTGGGCCAAGGTATTTAAGACTTGCATTTCAGAGGTTTTCAACAGCTTCGAAGTTAGGTAATTAGTCTCTCTTGTTTTGTTTCAACATTGATAAAATTAAGAGTATCTTGCTTGCCCCACACCTGTTTGCTTCATACAGCCTTACAGCCTGTGTTCACTGGATGGATGTCTGTCCTTCCTTTGTGAACATCCTTTAGGTAAACACACGTGTTCCCCGAGGCGTTCTGCGCAGGGAGCTCGGCGGATCAGCTTCCTTGCTTTGGAGCAGAAATCCTTCTGGAGTTCTGAGAGAGCTGAATATGTTTTGGTTTTTTGTTCCTCGAGGCGTTCTGCGCAGGGAGCTCGGCAGATCAGCTTCCTTGCTTTGGAGCAGAAATCCTTCTGGAGTTCTGAGAGAGCTGAATATGTTTTGGTTTTCTTTTTCTTTTGTAAAACACTGTGTGTGTAACACCACCGCGGACTGTTAAACAGCTGTCATCTTTCATTCCCTGCATAACGAGCTTCAGAAGCGGTTGATGCCATCTTAGCCATTCGTGAAAGGCTCTGGGTGCTTTTTGGGGATGGCAAGGCAGGGAGAGGTGTGATTATCCACTCCAGAGCTCGGCTCTGCTCAACTGCCTCCATTAAAAACAAATGGCAGCTCTCTTCCCTGAAGTGTGCTTCCCTGCAAACACTCATCCCCTCTGCCTTCTCCAAAACAGGTCCTGTCACCAGCAACATCCACTCAGCAGGAGCACCTGGAGCGATGATTCATGTCCAGGCCAGCCTGCCACAGGCCGTCCTGGGACTCAACTCCATTTCAACACACGGAGCAAACGTAAGAGCAGGCCTCCACGGCTTTAGTGTTGCAACACTTCTCGGGGAAAAGATGTTGGGGATTTCAAGCCCGACACGTCTTGTCTTTATCTCAGCAGCTGAGCCAGTACGCTGTAGGTGGGCAGCCATCTCCCAGTTTACAAACACAGCAACAACTCTTTCCTCCTCCTCCTCATTCGCAGCAAGTGTTCGCCCTGGCACAGAACACGCCGCAGGTACTGTTATTTGCTTGTGTCCTGAAGCACCTGCCAAGATCATCTCTAGATCTCTTTTAAAAGAAAAAAAAACAATAAAAATGTCCCTAAAAACCTACGTAGCCGTGGACGTTTCGCATCCGATATTTTCTTTCTTTTCCTTCTGCCCGCAGTGTAACCCGGCAGCGATCTACAACGCGCCCTACGGGCCTCAGCCACACTATCCTCAGCCACGGCTGGCTCCTCACTCTGCCCAGGAGCTGCACCCCAAGCATTACCCCAAGCCCATCTATTCCTACAGGTGAGTAGGGGGCAGAACAGCTGATCACCTGCAGCCCGCACTGGGACGACTGTGATGCTGTAGGTTTGGTACCAAGAGAGTGTTTGAGTCCTTTCGAGGGGAACAAAAACCCCATCACCCAGCCAGGAGTGAACAAGCAAACTAGTTCCTGGACATCAGGGTGGAGGTAGAGTAATAGCAGAGAGGAGCACGATCTGCAGGATCACAGGGTGACTCCTGAGCGCTTCAGAACGGTAATCCCCCCATCTGAATTAATATTGAATTAATCTTGAAATCCAGCTGTTGGTGTCTCAAGAGATGGCTCGGAGGTTGTTCGACCGGAACGATGGCTAAGAACATGCAACCTGGTGTTATTTCCTGTGTTTCTCTGTCCTCTAGTTGTCTGATTGCGATGGCGCTGAAGAACAGCAAAACAGGCAGCCTCCCGGTGAGCGAGATCTACAGCTTCATGAAGGAGCACTTCCCCTACTTCAAGGTATGTGACCACCCGGAATGGGGGAGTGGAACATCACCAATACTTTGTCCACAGCTTATTTCACTAACGTCCTCCTGTGTCTTCCAGACAGCCCCTGATGGCTGGAAGAACTCCGTGCGCCACAACCTGTCCCTGAACAAGTGCTTTGAGAAGGTGGAGAACAAGATGAGCGGCACCTCGCGCAAAGGGTGCCTCTGGGCTCTCAACCCCGCCAAGATCGACAAGATGGAAGAGGAGATGCAGAAGTGGAAGCGGAAGGACCTGGCTGCTATTCACAGGAGCATGGCTAACCCAGGTAGGGCTTATGTTCGTAGAATCATAGGATGGTTAGAGTTGGGAGGGACCTTAAAGATCATTGAGTTCCAACCCCCCTGCCCTGGGCAGGGACACCTCCCACCAGACCAGGTTGCTTCAAGCCCCATCCAGCCTGGCCTTGAACCCCTCCAGGGATGGGGCAGCCACAGCTTCTCTGGGCAACCTGGGCCAGGCTCTCACCACCCTCACAGCAAAGAATTTCTTTCTGGTATCTAATCTACATCTCCCCTCTTCCAATTTAAAACTGTTACCCCTTGTCCTGTCACTGCAATTCCTGACAAAGAGTCCCTCCCCATCTCTCCTGTAGCTCCCTTCAGATATTGGAAGGCCACTATGAGGTCTCCCCGGAGCCTTCTCTTCTCCAGGCTGAACAACCCCAGCTCTCTCAGCCTGTCCTCACAGATGGTAGAAGTAGATGGTATTTCCTTGCTGTCTGCACAGCTGAGGCCTCCCTTCTCTGCTGCATCTCGCACGGTAGAAGTAGATGGTATTTCTTTGCTCTCTGCACAGCCGAGGCCTCCCTTCTCTGCTGCATCTCGCACGGGGACAGCTGTGGCAAAAGCACGTGGCTGTGCTCACTTTTAGGAAGAACTTCTTTGCTGTGAGGGTGGTGAGAGCCTGGCCCAGGTTGGCCAGAGAAGCTGTGGCTGCCCCATCCCTGGAGGGGTTCAAGGCCAGGCTGGATGGGGCTTGGAGCAACCTGGTCTGGTGGGAGGTGTCCCTGCCCAGGGCAGGGGGGTGGCACTGGGTGGGCTTTAAGGTCCCTTCCAACCCAAACCATTCTCTGATTCTATTAAATGCTTTGCCTTGAACAAGTGGGTTAAACTTTCTTGTTTCTTCCTCGGGAATGGGCGTCGCTGGCGCAGAGGAGCTGGACAAGCTGATCACTGACAGACCCGAGAGCTGCAGGAGACCCAGCAAACAGGCAGAGCCCGAGGTCCCCACCCTGACCCACATGGCAGCGGCCCAGGGCCGCATCTCCATCTCCCAGCTGCAGCCTCAGCCCATCATGACGCTCTCGCTGCAGTCCCTCCCCCTGCACCACCACCAGATCCAGACCCAGGCTCGCATCGCCCCGGACTCACCCGCGCCCGCACAAACGCCTCCTCTCCACACTCTGCCCGACATGAGCCACAGCCCCCTGCCCCACCACCCCCTGGGACGCGCCCCTCCCGACTTCCTCAACATGACGGCGGACATGAACACCGAGGTGGATGCTCTTGACCCCAGCATTATGGATTTTGCATTGCAAGGTAGGGAAGAAAGGGGATGGGGGAGGGGAGGGGGTGATTCATGTGGTCGTGTGGTCACTGAATGTGCAACCAAGGTCCTCAGCAGGATGCTCTGGGGTGGGATGTAGCTGAGCTAAAGACTTGTGCTGGGTGGTGGCCTTCCTCAGCACGTTCCTGCCCTGTGCTAGGTGGGACACCAAACTGCCTTCATGGCTCGAGCACAGGCACCACAGCAGATGTGAGCAGGGATGTCCATGTAGCTGGATCTAGGACACCACATCTCTCTACCCATGGGAAGCCATCGCTCTCCTCGTGCCTTGGTTTTCCCCTTCTGTAAAAGGAGAAGTTAGAATCATAAAATCATTTAGGTTGGAAAAGACCTTTTAGACCATCAAGTCAAACCATAAACCTAACACTGCCAAGTCCATCAAAACCATAAACCAAGTCTGTCACTAGACCATGTCCCCAAGTGCCACATCTACACATCTTTTAAATACTTCCAGGGATGGTGACCCCACCACCTCCCTGAGCAGCCTGTTCCAACACTTGACAACCCTTTTGGTGAAGAAATCAATCATTATTTAGGAGACTGTAGGAAGTGGTGTCCCCAGCTCGTGGCAATGCCGAGCATGGCCCCTGGGTTCTGGTTAGCACCTGGTAGACAGACGAGGCCTAGAAAGGTCTGGAATCCTGCTGGAACCAGGGGATTTGGGGAAACAGACACCCTCACTGTCCTTGCACCACAAATGGTACCATCCACAAGCAGCACTTGGTCCTGACCAGCAGGTAAAGCCCTTTAGTTGCAGGCTGAGGCCCACACGCAGTGCCCGGGTGGGTTGGATGTGTTGCTGTGACCAGAATGTATTCTTTTAAAGGTAACATATGGGAGGAAATGAAAGACGAGAGCTTCAGCCTCGATGCCCTGGGTGCCTTCAGCAACTCCCCACTCCACCTCTCAGACTGTGACCTGGGCACCCCCGGCCTCACCCCCGTCTCCAGCGGCAGCGACCACTCCTTCTCAGACTTGCAGGTCACCGGCCTTTACACCACCTACACCACCCTGGACAACGTGGCAGCAGCTCAGTACATGAACCCCCAGGGCAACAAACCCATCCCTCTGCTCTGAGCTTTGCACCCTTCCATGGACCTCTCTGACTCCGGGACCGGTTTCTCCCGACCGTTAAAATCCAACCCAACAGCAAGAGAAGAGCTCCTCCTGCAGACGCTTGGGACACCTCGGCTTTCTACTGGGATGCAGCAGGTGATGCCAAAATAAGTCCAACTGTTTCTAGTGGAACCTCTTTCATCCATGGCAAGACTGAGGAAGGGGCACGGACACTCGTGTTGCAGGATTGGTGAGCTCTCAAGAAGGACCTGGATGGCATCAGTCAGCAGGAACTTCCACTGGAACGTAGCTGAGCTAAAAAATGGTCCCATGAAGGTAAATCCAGTCAATGGATGCTGTGATCCAGCTTTAGATGGGGACACTGTTTGGTGACCATCTACATGGAAGCCAAGATGAGTCCACGGGCTGGTCAGCTCAGAGTCAGAGTCCAAAATGGTTCATCACAGACCACGTGCATCTGTTTTCTTGAATTGCCAAATCCGAAGTTTCTGGAGACGCTTGTGCCGCTGACGCTTTTCTGACGGAACTATCGTTAACTTATTGTTATGAGGTAGGACAAAAAGGAGCAAAACTATTAAAAGTGAAAAAAATCAAGCCTGTAGCAGACAACTGTCCTGTCTAGGTATAAAACAAAGTCCTTGCCCCACCATGAAGGAAGTGGTACTACTGAATTGTTAAACTGATCACTGGCTAGAGGATTTTAGGAGTTATGCCTATTTTTAGGAATTATTTTTTTTTTAAAAAAAGAGATTAGATTTGTTTATAGTCTTGTGTATCGTGCTTCTGTCTGTTCTTGTGCTAGGGCGGTATTACTATTTGTAAATTTATTTATATTTATTGTTATGAAGAGAAAAGAAATTATGTAAACTGAGCACTGTTCAATTTTGTAAAATGCTGCAGTAACCTCTTTTACATTCACTAAATTATTCAGAATCAAAAATGCAACAATTTTAATCGCTGTTGTTACACTACATTTCTTTGAAATAAGCACTTTTGATACTGTGAAACTCATGGTTTTTTAAAAAAATTTTCAAAGACCAAATATTGTGACTGTACCGTACCCATTCCGAATAGTCTTTCTTTCCTAATTAACCAAGTAAAATCCATTCTAATGTAGTTTTTTTTAAATTTCCAAACCCTGCTTTACACTTGGTAACATCCATTGCAAAAAGTGATGAAACACCCGAAAAGATGAAAAGCAAACTGTACGTTGGAGTTTAGCGTTTAGTCTACTTATACCTCTGTGACCATGAAGTAATATTTATATCTCGTGTTTTGTCCTGTTCCTGTGCGTGAATGGAATTAATTTCCCAGTTCTGTCAGTCCCTGGTACTGGATCCACGGGCTCCTCTCTCCCACTCAGAGTGGGGCCAGGGGGTGGATGGAGGCCAAAAGCCCCCCCAGCTTTAGTCCATCTCCTGAACACCGGGGGGGCACGGGACGCTGGCTGAAAATCCCTGTTGTGAAGACGAGGGGCTGGAAAATGTCTGTGCCCATTCCTCCTCCAGTGGGTACGTCCTCAGCGACCTCTTCCAAAAGGACATGATGCTCCACGTCATAATTTATTGTTGAAGAACAAATGTGATTAACGATCATTTGCTGTGACCGGTGTCACCTACGATGTCTTCGTCTCTTTTTTTTTTTTAAATAAATATTTCTTAGCACTAAGCCTGGCTCCTTCTGGACGTGCTGTGTTATAACCACGCCGGTGTCAGCAGTTTGCCATTAAACGCTAATTCCGAGGTGTCTGCTCCTGGAAATCCAACCCAGTGAGGAAATTGTTTTATACAACTTGGGGATGGTGACAAAGGGACACAGCTCAGAGGTGTTTGACCCCAGCCGTGGTGTCCATGCGTGCTGAGGAGCAGGACCTTCTCTTGGGTCCAAGACTTAGGTGCACCACTAAGAGTGAAACATCTCACCAAGCACCCAGAGCTCCCACTTGCGAATGGCCATGAGGCCTTACCTCTAAAAGAGCAGCTTTGCCCAGGGTTCATCTTACACCATGTCCACCTCCAGGCTTTGTCCCCACCTCAAACCCTCCAAGAGGATGAGAGTTGGCAGGTATTACCATGTGAGCTCTTTTCCCATCCTGTCAATCTCTTCCTGAGCATCTCCACAGCTGAAGGTGCCAGAAGAGCTCTGGTGCAGGGACAGGGGGTGGTGGGAGGGATGCTGTGAGCTGCTCTGCCGGGGGCAGAGGGACCATCCCCAGCTCAGATCTGCCACATTTATACAATGACAAAGGACACAGAGCTCAGGAGAACCTCCTCGAGAACTGTGCTCGTTTATTGGCGGTGGTTTGGCTCCCGTAGGGTGAGTGTCGACACCCCCCAACCCTGACAAAGTGCAGTGACACCTTTCAAGCATCTCATCAGGCCCTTTCCAACCCCACCCCCAGGACAGGGAGGCCTCCCCATAGACCTGGTGGGATTCCTCAGCCCGGGCATGACTGAGGAGGTGTCCAACACCTCCACACCACGGTAACACCAGGTGTTTCACCTTGAACCAGGTGTCCCACCTTCCATCTCCTCCACCTTTGCGAGCCAAAGCCAAACCTGTGCTGGTGGAACGATGCACCCGCACAGCCAGAGGCACTGGAAAGCACAAGATTCAAGTTTTTCCTCCATGAACCAAGCTGCTTAAAGGCCACCCGAGAAGCAAAGTACAGGTCTGAGCAGACGGAGAGCTCACCCTGGCTCCTGTGGGTCAGCGGAGGAAGCAGGTCGCTGGGGCAGCAGAGCTGTGTCCTCCCTCCATCTTCTGCAGGAGCCACAGGTTGAAAACACCCCAGGGAGCTGTGGCAGGAGCCAGAAAGGACACGAGATGGGCGAGAGGAACAGTTGGGTCAGTCAAGCCGTGGTGGATTTGTTGATGTCCCTGCTGCAACAGCTCCCAGCGTGGCTCGCTGACGTCTTTTCTGGGCCATCAGCTACTCACAGTCACATGTACTGATCGCTCCCCAACGAGGGGAAGGATGAGACAAATTGCTCCTCACAGTTCCTGAGTTTATAATAAAACATCAGTTTGGGACTGCTTCTTAAGCAGGGTTTACATTTCCTTGTGCTGGTGCCTGGTCAGCCCCAACACGGCTGTACAGGGACCTCTTCCTTCGTCCTGCTCCCCTGTGCCTGGCCCAGTCCGTTTGTACTTCCAGCTCCGTCCACTCTCATGAGACACGTCTGACACTGGTGCTCTGCTGAGGCCTCCCTTCTCTGCTGCATCTCGCACGGGGACAGCTGTGGCAAAAGCACGTGGCTGTGCTCACTTTTAGGAAGAACTTCTTTGCTGTGAGGGTGGTGAGAGCCTGGCCCAGGTTGCCCAGAGAAGCTGTGGCTGCCCCATCCCTGGAGGGGTTCAAGGCCAGGCTGGATGGGGCTTGGAGCAACCTGGTCTGGTGGGAGGTGTCCCTGCCCAGGGCAGGGGGGTGGCACTGGGTGGTCTTTAAGGTCCCTTCCAACCCAAACCATTCTCTGATTCTATTAAATGCTTTGCCTTGAACAAGTGGGTTAAACTTTCTTGTTTCTTCCTCGGGAATGGGCGTCGCTGGCGCAGAGGAGCTGGACAAGCTGATCACTGACAGACCCGAGAGCTGCAGGAGACCCAGCAAACAGGCAGAGCCCGAGGTCCCCACCCTGACCCACATGGCAGCGGCCCAGGGCCGCATCTCCATCTCCCAGCTGCAGCCTCAGCCCATCATGACGCTCTCGCTGCAGTCCCTCCCCCTGCACCACCACCAGATCCAGACCCAGGCTCGCATCGCCCCGGACTCACCCGCGCCCGCACAAACCCCTCCTCTCCACACTCTGCCCGACATGAGCCACAGCCCCCTGCCCCACCACCCCCTGGGACGCGCCCCTCCCGACTTCCTCAACATGACGGCGGACATGAACACCGAGGTGGATGCTCTTGACCCCAGCATTATGGATTTTGCATTGCAAGGTAGGGAAGAAAGGGGATGGGGGAGGGGAGGGGGTGATTCATGTGGTCGTGTGGTCACTGAATGTGCAACCAAGGTCCTCAGCAGGATGCTCTGGGGTGGGATGTAGCTGAGCTAAAGACTTGTGCTGGGTGGTGGCCTTCCTCAGCACGTTCCTGCCCTGTGCTAGGTGGGACACCAAACTGCCTTCATGGCTCGAGCACAGGCACCACAGCAGATGTGAGCAGGGATGTCCATGTAGCTGGATCTAGGACACCACATCTCTCTACCCATGGGAAGCCATCGCTCTCCTCGTGCCTTGGTTTTCCCCTTCTGTAAAAGGAGAAGTTAGAATCATAAAATCATTTAGGTTGGAAAAGACCTTTTAGACCATCAAGTCAAACCATAAACCTAACACTGCCAAGTCCATCACTAAACCATGTCCCCAAGTGCCACATCTACACATCTTTTAAATACCTCCAGGGATGGTGACCCCACCACCTCCCTGAGCAGCCTGTTCCAACACTTGACAACCCTTTTGGTGAAGAAATCAATCATTATTTAGGAGACTGTAGGAAGTGGTGTCCCCAGCTCGTGGCAATGCCGAGCATGGCCCCTGGGTTCTGGTTAGCACCTGGTAGACAGACGAGGCCTAGAAAGGTCTGGAATCCTGCTGGAACCAGGGGATTTGGGGAAACAGACACCCTCACTGTCCTTGCACCACAAATGGTACCATCCACAAGCAGCACTTGGTCCTGACCAGCAGGTAAAGCCCTTTAGTTGCAGGCTGAGGCCCACACGCAGTGCCCGGGTGGGTTGGATGTGTTTGCTGTGACCAGAATTTATTCTTTTAAAGGTAACATATGGGAGGAAATGAAAGACGAGAGCTTCAGCCTCGATGCCCTGGGTGCCTTCAGCAACTCCCCACTCCACCTCTCAGACTGTGACCTGGGCACCCCCGGCCTCACCCCCGTCTCCAGCGGCAGCGACCACTCCTTCTCAGACTTGCAGGTCACCGGCCTTTACACCACCTACACCACCCTGGACAACGTGGCAGCAGCTCAGTACATGAACCCCCAGGGCAACAAACCCATCCCTCTGCTCTGAGCTTTGCACCCTTCCATGGACCTCTCTGACTCCGGGACCGGTTTCTCCCGACCGTTAAAATCCAACCCAACAGCAAGAGAAGAGCTCCTCCTGCAGACGCTTGGGACACCTCGGCTTTCTACTGGGATGCAGCAGGTGATGCCAAAATA